AAGCTACTAGGAACAAAGGGCATCGCTACTAGGAGCAAGGACGCTACGTACTAGTCCTTATCAGCTTTAAAAGTTCCCGAACTCATTAGTGCCGCATGCCCCGAACGGTTCGTGCAGTTTCGTAGCATCGATGCTGGGACAAAAGCTACTCGAGGGTTGGATGGATAGGTTTCTGTCCGTGCCAGTGATTTCAACACATGCTAGCCTCTATAGGATCTTGCTGGGAATAGCTCAAGGGTGTGGTTCATACACAGGAGCACTCCGGACGACTCGTAGCCAAGATACTCTTTAATTCAAAATCCACTTCAAAGACTTGCACGCGGGCGACTTCAGTCATCATTACCTGAGACAAACCCTCGCAGCTTTGGTTGCGACTCTCATTCCAACATTTCCTTTGGACAAATTGTAGCTGAGCTGCGTGAAACTCACAGGTATCAACCCAACTATATCCGCAATCAACGTTGCTGATCGAATGCCACGAGCCACAGGAAGAATGGACCAGCCCACTGGCCGACCAGGTTCCGCCCAGATTCTCCTCGAAATAGACTTTGCCGGTCCAGGGCTGAGTCAAACGCGCTTTCAACGTTCCACCAGCTGTAGAGTCAGTGAAAACCACGCAAGCCCTGATGAACTTTGCGTCATAGAGCCACTTTGCTAGGCCAAATGAATGTCCAATCTTGAACCAAGTATTGGCGCTTGGTGTGCCCTCGTAAGTCACAGGTGCATCCAAGCGGCCCCGAAAGAACCTGGCCTGATTGGGATCACTGCTGCCAAACTCCAACTCCAGCGACTTGATCACAGTATGAGTAGAATGATGCCAATCAATCACACAAGTATCACTCCAGGAATACCCACAGTACACTGCGGCAAGGTCGTGCCAAGGTCCACAAGAGTGATGGTACAATCCGCTATGGGACCAAGTGATTCCGAAGGAATCCCTGAAGAGTATCGCATTTGCGTCAGAGTACTTTCTCAAGCGAAGCTGCAAATGGCCCGTTTGGTCGTTCGTGGAGTCCGTGTAGGTGACGCACATGCGAATCTCGGTGGCAGAAGGGAAGTCGAACTTGCGCCACCCAAACCTGAACTAGGAGCAAGCACGTTTCTAGGGGCTCCTGGCACCGCTACTAGGAGCAAGGACGTTTCTAGGGGCTCCAGCAAGGACGCTACTAGGGGCTCCTGGCATCGCTACTAGGAGCAAGGACGCTACTAGGGG